ATATCATATACCAAACAAAACCCTAACTATCCAGCTACAATTTAGTGAATAAATGAATAAAGTAAACAAAACGGTATTTAAATAAATTGAAATCAAAGTGGTATAGCCATATTCTGGCCGCCCTGTAGTAATAAGTTATTACACGTTGTGTAATTATTACAGTACTATTGATTATCAAAATCAAAATAAAGAATATTTCACAATATAAAATAATCTTTGTTTATTTTATGTTGTACAGTATGTTATAATTAAAAATTAAATCAATAAAGTTATTGCCTTATTAAGAGACAATTGTTTTTAATAACACTCAAAATAAATATTTAGATATTACAGTAGATATGTAAATATTATTTGCAATTCAAAATATTTTATATTTAGGTATTTTTAGTTTATTTCATTTCATTTTATTTTATTTTACTTCAAGATATTTTTTATTTTATAATATTTGTTTACCATTTGATAATACAGCAATTAGCAATGAATCCTATTAATGTCTATAAAGTATTATCACCAGATTTTCATATAAATGAAGCATCAAATCAATTGTATAAAATAGGGTTATGTTTGAAACCACCAAACATATCCACAAACTGGTCATCCAACCCATTGCTTATATCACTTGTATTGTGGATATTTCTTTTAATTAACATTGTTTTGCTATTCATCCCAAACGAGTCCAGAAATATACACATAATATTGGGCGACTTTTCGCATTTAATACATGTGGGCTATTACTATAAAGTGGGCTCGGTCATTTTGACATTGCTTAACATTAGTATTCATGGCATTTATTACTACAACTACTGGTATGGTATTGACCCGACATTTCTAGGAGCGTTTGCGATGATGTCAGGTATGGTTACCCCTAATAGTATCGGTCTCTCAGACCCACACTCTGTCTACCAATTCATACAGATATCCAAAACTTTATTCTGGGTCACCCGAGTCATAAGCACTCGTACTGTACCGGCAATGAGTCTGATGTGTTTCTACGCATACCTGACCACTACTACACTATATGAAGCATTACTCTATGGCATCCCTCATAACATATTCAATGCAATCGTTTATTACTACAACTTCTCAATCAGTTTATGGCAATTGACTTATTTTTATCTCATTTGCTATTATTTAAAAATTAAAATTAAAACTTTACATCAGTCCATAAATAGTGTGAAAATCAATACCATTCACATGTATCTATCAAATTTGATTAAAATTAACAAGGAAATCGATGAATATAACACTACCTATTGGTCTAAATATTTGTTTGTTTTATGGCTTTTATTGGGTTCAGTAGTCGTGGACGGAGTTTATACACTGATATTTAAGGACATGGATGTGTTTGTGAGAATTATTGGACAGTATATGATAGCAATGATGGTTATGTTACTGGTGTTTATAGTATTTATCGCCTCATCAATAATCTTTGAAACAAACAAATTTTATAAATTGCTAAATAATTTTATGATTCAATTCTTATATAATAAACATTTCAGTAGCCATAGGATTAAAGTAATTGTTTTAAATATTCACTTGATTATTTTTAAAGTAAATTAATAGTTTCATATTTTTTAATACAGTTAATGGTTTGTATTGAAACGTGTGGCGAACAAATGACTGGCTTTTCTTGCTGGACACTTTTTGTTATAAATCATTACCGGTGTTATGAGGTATTTTACATTATGACCATGATTAAATGTTAAATTTGTTTGTTTATTTTACAGATATTTTCATTACTCTGTGTTTTATTTTAAAAATTAATTGAGATTTCTATGTAAATCCTCAAAAATTACAATAATTTCGTTAATTTTATAATTTAAAATAAAATGTAAATATTCTTATACACTTTACTCTACACTTATCAATATAATTGTTATGTAATATCAGACAGAATATTCTAGATATTTATTGCTAGATCATTTTCAAATGAAGTATTGTACTAAATTAAATATTAATATATAAATCATATTCTTCAACAATATTCTCTCGCTCTCTCTGCTCTCTCTCTCTCTCTCTCTCTCTCTCTCTCCTCAAATTGTTTCATAATATTATATGTTATGTATTATAGTTTATAGCAGCCAAAAAAGTTTGCCAAATAATTGTTATTGCATTTCTATAATATAATTATTTTATTTAATACAAAATAATTAAAAATTACTCTCAATTTTATATAGCAATATAGAAATAATATTCATTCCAATGTAATATCATTTAGGAATAAATTCCTAAATCATATAGTTTATATTTATATTATACTGTACAGGTTTTGTCTCAAAAAACATATACCGTAATATTTAATTTAAGACACGGAATGCTAAATTAATTGAATTCTTAGAAAAATCAATAGATTTTGTATATTTACAGTAAACATGATAACTAATTCTTACTTGTTAGGAAATTCATGCCTTGAATAAATTATTTTTAGTCAATCGATAACAATGGCCATCAACAGTAATACATATATAATATTAATTTTTAAATGTAAAATATATTTATTTATTTGTTCAATAAAATTGAGAGTAATTTTTAATTATTTTGTATTAAATAAAATAATTATCATACTAATATTAAAATAGGAATTATTTGAATAAAAATATACATATGAATCTCATTAAACAATAAGTAATATGATATGACATATTTTGATTAAACCGTTGCCATCGCTGTGATTGATATAACGAAAGAATTTTTATTTTATGAATACTTTAATTGGTTTTATGCAATACATGAGATCGTAATCATAATATTATTTTATGTAATATTTAAGTCAACAATTTCATAAATTTATTGTTTATTCATTAATTCAACAGGTCAGCTTAGATGTTTTCTAGATTAGATTCTAAGGGATCTTGACCATTGTTATGTCTAGTAGGATAGTTTATGGAAAATTACTCTAAAAATAAAATAACACCCTGCCCCTTTAGAATAAAATGTTGCTATTAATATAGCAATAGTAATGGTCAGTCTATAAGTGGATTTAGTAAATTATTAATAAATATTATCATTACAAAGTTAGCTAAATGCACTTTAATTGCATAAAACATATGGCATAAGTAGTTAAATAATATTAATATTTTAAATCTATATCTCTTATATAAATTATTTATTGCACTGTAATCATACTGCAAAATCTAAAGTATTAATTAATATTGTGATTATCTATAGAAATATTTATTTTAATTAAGATATTATTTGTTTGGTGATTACTAGGAATTAGTTATTTATAGAAATGCAATAACAATTATTTGGCAAACTTTTTTGGCTGCTATAAACTATAATACATAACATATAATATTATGAAACAATTTGAGGAGAGAGAGAGAGAGAGAGAGAGAGAGAGAGCGAGAGGTCTGGTATACAAAAGTTAAGATACTTTTCGTGTGTCAAACCCCAAAATCGCTTTTAATATCACAAATAGCATGCAATTTGAGTCAATACGAAGGATAACTGTATTAACATTTCGTGTATAGTCGAGATTACCATTCTTTGCCTCAGACTTACGATGACTTAGATTAGTTGTCTCTTCTTTAGGTGCTGTCGTAGAGCACAGGGATGTCTTGTCGTCAGGTGTGGCCACGTTCTCGCTGATGGCGATCATGTACTCGAACTCACGAGTCCATGGATTCTTGAATGTCTTCCACAAAGTGGTTAAATAGAGATACGTCCCTAATTTGGTTCGGAACCGGTAGGGCAGCGAATTCTTGCTCACGTTTTGCTGATGTAGTGCTATGTAAATACCGGTGCAATCATTCAGTGACTTAAGAATTTGTATGTTTTCATATAGACATACCGGTGCGATGACTCTCAGCCAGTGTTAGCACATCGTCCGGATGACAGTAATCGTAACACGAAGTGCCCAATAGTTCTTGTGGTAAATAACCCAATAGTGGTGTCACTCTGTTATACAGAATATAATTATTAATTACCGAACAGAATATTCTTGACATTCCTATCACTGCTATCCATGACAATCACATTCAGAAAATCTAAACAAACCTCTGGTCCACAAACAAATACATGCCATCCATGCTATGTCTTGAGGTGTACTCAATGGGTTTGACGGGAAATATCTTATCGGACACGTGATGTTGTCTATCGGTCTGCGGCATAACCCTCGCCATCGCCACCAGACATCCCGTATGACTACTGACACTCGATTGGCACACTTTAGCACCATTTTCATCACTAGTGGACTGGGATGTGGCCGCACAGGTAGGTGATGATGGCTGACCCTCCTGAGTGGTCCACGACTTGAGATAACCCATGCAATAGAGATCGCAGTATTTGTCGTTCATTATGTTAATCCGTTGCCTCTTTTTATTAGCCAACCCTCGAATGCCTTTCCCATCGTTGCGATTGATGTGAAACTTGTATTTCATGCGACAGAAGAATGAACGCCTACTGCCCGGACACGACTCGATAGTAGGGCTCACGTTATTAGCTGCCTGTCCTTCCATGTTATCAGTGTCTGACACTTTTGGTACCAAAAATTAAGTGAAATAATATGTTAATTAATTGTTTTTAAAATTATCATTTACACCCAATGTCTATACAAACCGTTAACTCTTTATCCATAAACATTTCATTATATGAATGATTATAATATTTTATACACTATTCATAACCCGTACTGTACTATAGAATTGATATGATATACCGTTTAATTTATTTTAAAAAAGTTTGAATTATTATATAAATAACTTTAAAAATATTTAATCAATGGATGAAAAATTACCAGTTTTAGACCAAAACTTTTTTTTGTTTAAAGTTTTTCTCTTATATGACTTACTCTTGTCGTCAATATGTTTCTCTTTTACGCCATTAAACGACTCCCAGAGAGACAACTGTTCCTTTACTTTAGGTATGTCTTTGTGGTGCAGGACATCGAACCAACTCATGCCCAACAGGTCTCGCTATAAGACATCAATTCATAGTTACATTTTCTATAAGTAGTCACAAATCATTGTAATTTACCTGATTGTAATTAAGAGTCTGTTTAACACTGTCCGAGACATATAGTATTTTACCCCGGTCACAGCTTACCACAAATAGGAATCCCTCCGTCACCTGTGGTTTTTGAAATGGGGGTTTGATTTTGTTTTGTTGAGTTTTTCACCGAATTTTAAAATATAGATTTAGAAATTGAAAAAACATAATATATATATTAATATCCATATTTAAATACAATTCATACAAAATCAATAAAATAATTGAATATGAGAAATGTCATTGTTTTAAAATTTTTTAAACATAATATCAATTCTGTTTTTGATTTAAGTTGGTCCTTAACACATAAAATATTATAATTATTTATGTTTAGTAAAATTCATTTGTGATCATGAGACCACAAGTTATAATAATTTGTAAAAGTTATCTATGATTAAAGTTTGTAGAATTCAATTACAGTTCTTATAACTTTTATATAGAAACTGTTGAATACTGTATTTGTGGCTAAGATATAATTATAAAGAATATTCCTTATTATAAACTAATGTAAAAAATTAAGCATTTTCTATTCTGAGCAGTATATTAGATAAAATATTAAACATTAAACTAATACACTATAATATTTTAAAATGTAATAACATTTAAACTTTATATTATAGAATATCTGTTATAATGACATTTTATTCATATTCAATAAGATAAATAAATAAAAACTAAGTATCTATTCATATGATATTAATAAATATTTATATCGCTATAAACTTTCCTGTAATAGCATTTTGTCGACACAATCGTCGGACACAAAACTGGGGGTCGGAGTCATGGCGTCTGCAATGGCGGCGCGCTTTCTAATAGCCTTAATATGTTGAACAGTCATGCGAAGCACCGTTAGTTTATCCAATTTCCTATTAGCGGGTATGGCTGAACACATGGGCACCAGTCTGGCCAACTCCCTAATGAGCATGTTCATTTTTTCGCGCCTCCTTTTCTCGATTTCCGAGTGATTCTGTTTCCGGATTTCATCTAATTTTACGCCACATTTGTCCAAACAGTCCATCAATTGATCCACATTTCTATATTCATATCAATTTCATATAATAATTATAATATTGTACTTATTTCATGACAAATAAATTGTATTTTTATTATATTCATGTGATAGCGTGCTGTTATTAATTTATTATCATGGTTATTATAGTAGTAATAAGTTATTACACATTGTGTAATTATTGCCGTACTATTAATTATCAAAATCAAAATAAAGAATATTTTACAGTATAAAATAATTTTTGTTTATTTTATGTTGTATATTATAATTAAAAATTAAATCAATAAAATCACTGCCTTATAAAGAGATCATTGTTTTTACTAACACTCAAAATAAATATTTAGATATTAGATATGTAAATATTATTTGCAATTCAAAATATTTTATACTTAAGTATTTTTAGTTTATATTATTTCATTTGATTTTATTTTATGCTGTATTATTTGTTTACCATTTGATAATACAGCAATTAACTATGAAATTCGTAGTATGAATCCTATTAATGTCTATAAAGTATTATCACCAGATTTTCATATAAATGAAGCATCAAATCAATTGTATAAAATAGGGTTATGTTTGACACCACCAAACATACCCACAAACAGACACTGGTCATCCAACCCATTGCTTATATCACTTATATTGTGGATATTTATTTTGATTAACATCGTTTTGCTATTTATCCCAAACGAGCCCAGAAATATACACATAATATTGGGCGACTTTTCGCATTTAATACATGTGGGCTATTACTATAAAGTGGGCTCGGTCATTTGGACATTGCTTAACATTAGTATTCATAGCATTTATTACTACAACTACTGGTATGGTATTGACCCGACATTTCTAGGAGCGTTTGCGATGATGTCAGGTATGGTTACCCCTAATAGCATAGACGTTCAAAATTTTAAAAATCCCCAAAATAGTGTTTTATAATAATATTAAAATTTTTAACTATTCAAAACACTAATATTTTCTGATTTAAATGTGACTAAGATTTGTATTTAAAACATTTTTATTTATAAAACAAAAAATGATATATAAATGATTAAAATACAAATTCGTAAGAGATTTCTAAACATACAATAAAAATATCCAATAATTCTCACAAACACATCCATGTCCTTAAATATCAGTGTATAAACTCCGTCCACGACTACTGAACCCAATAAAAGCCATAAAACAAACAAATATTTAGACCAATAGGTAGTGTTATATTCATGGATTTCCTTGTTAATTTTAATCAAATTTGATAGATACATGTGAATGGTATTGATTTTCGCACTATTTATGGACTGATGTAAAGTTTTAATTTTAATTTTTAAATAATAGCAAATAAGATAAAAATAAGTCAATTGCCATAAACTGATTGAGAAGTTGTAGTAATAAACGATTGCATTGAATATGGTATGAGGGATGCCATAGAGTAATGCTTCATGTAGTGTAGTAGTGGTCAGGTATGCGTAGAAACACATCAAACTCATTGCCGGTACAGTACGAGTGCTTATGACTCGGGTGACCCGGAATAAAGTTTTGGATATCCGTATGAATTGGTAGACAGTGTGTGGGTCTGAGAGACCGATACTATTAGGCTTAGACGCACAGATATGGTTTCCAGAAACCAACTAGTGATGTATACATTTACAATATATTATTATTTAGGCTGAGTATACACAACACTAGTATTTTAAAGTTTATAGTATAGATTAAAGATTAAGGTAGCATTTAGTTAAATACTCATGAATATTACTTAGTTTTTCATATA